CCTCCTTTATAAAGTCATTTTTTTAATGCGTTCACAATATTTTATCAGCTGGCTTGACGCCATTCAGCATCTTTATCAGCAATAAGGAAATCAGATTTAAAGCCACTGCTGAAAGTTCAAGGGTTACACACTGAAGAAATTGTAAGTATTGAAGGTGATAAGGTTTACACATAGAAAGCCATGTGCATCTCTTGGTAATCTACACTCCTGTAAACAAAAATGCATTTTAATGACAAATGCAATGTTAAGCATCTAGAAACTTAAGAGTGCCCCCTTTCAACTAGTTTTCTTTTCATGATCAATGCTTTGTTATTACAGAGATAAAAGATTAATATGTTGGACACAATCATTTCAAAGTCTAAAGCAGAGTTTCAGCTTAAACTCAGATGAAGCTGAAAAAAATGACCAGATAAAGTGGAAATGAAAATAAAATGGAAGGAAAAATAAAAACCTCATTCTGCTTTCAGGACTCTAAAGTATAAGACCTCAGCTCTACCCACAGCTTGCATTCCTTCCAGAAATGCCCTCCTTCTTTGACAAAGCTGAACTGTATTATCTGCTGATACGAAAATAGCTATTCTTGACTATGACACCAAAAAAGCCAGGATTTCTTTTTACTACATCTGAAAAAACCTAAAGTAACTAACTCACCAGAATAAAGTTCTTTTTTTGTTTTGTTTGGGTTTTTTTTTTTAGATACAATTGACATCAGCAAACTAAGTCTATTGCTCTAATACACAGCTAAGTGTGATAAAAGCATCTGATGCACATCCAGTGGAAGTGGAATTTCATGAACAGGTGGACCCATAGCTAAGCATAAGCTGTATCCACAGCTGCACCAGCCAAGCTATCCAAGTCTGAAGACAAAATGGGCTAGCTCCTGCCCATCCTGGCTCACAAGCGTTCTTGCTTACCTATTTTTCCCCCTTCACTTCCTGCCAAAGTTCAACGCGCTAGACATGCAACAAGGACTTTTTGTGGGGGCAAGCTCCGTTGTGTGGGCAAATTCAAAGTCCTGAAGCTGCCATTAGATGTAATCTTCTATCAGTGCACACTAATTTGCAGTAAAAATTCCTTCCAAAAGAGGGTTTGTGAGACACAGATAAAGAAGCAGACACTCTAAAGAACAAACTGATCTAAACCTCTGTATCTTCTCTCAGTTTAACAATGGTACTTATGAAAAATACTCAGGTCAACTTGTTTACTTCATCTCCACACAAACAGCAGTAGCAGCAAAGTATACATGGAAGAGAACTACAGCAATACAAATTTCCAGTTCAGCACTGTTTCACAGCTCTGCAGAAAGTTCTCTCAAAGTATTAATTTTTATCCTGTAATAATTTTAACAGGATATCGCACATTATTGTAATCTACAGTGCTCAATTTCTCTCAGTGAACACCAGATTACAGAGGCTGTGCACTTTCAGGGAAAATTAATAGAAAGCTTTAAAACATTAATTAACAGAGAAAGAGTTTTTATTTTACTTGGGAACACAAATATTTACTAACTTGAGTATCTCAAGACTGCATTTTGAATAATTTTTTTAATTAACATGGAAAACATTTCTCAAAAATCTAGTATTACAGTGATATGTCTAAAATTGCTTAGATAATATTTTCCAAAACTAATACCTATGTTCTAGAACTTAAATGAACTTTGTCTTCAGCTGTAATAAATGAAATTTGAATTTCTGTGCTGACATACGACCACACGAGCACTTTCAGCACAACAGCACCCTTCTGCAAAAATACATTTGGACAAAAAACACTGCAAAGCTACATGCATAAGCACACAAGTCTTGAAACATACACACGTGAGACAAAGGAAGTAGCAGTCTTTCTTACATGTGTTGGGGGGGTTGGAGGATTTTGCTTAATTTTCAATTCTTCACAGTTATTCAAAAATAATTTCCTTGACTGTCTTTGACAGTTGTGTCTTCCAAACCACAAAGAAGCCTATGCAATTTGGGAGAGAAAGCTCAGGGGCAGCTGTTGGGAGACAGCTAAGCTTGCACAGTCAATGTATTTCACTTTTAAGGTTTCCTTTGAGTGTTCTGATGTCCAATCCAAACACTTTTCCTATCACAGGTCACCTATATACAAAATCTTTTACAGATAAATCTATGTGTAAGCATACATATACATGTGCTCACAGAAACTGTCAATCAAATTCCAGTTTTGTCATTTCATCCACCTACATGACAGTGGCCTTAGAACTTTATTTACTCCAGAATTCCATTCCGCTCAATTTCTCTTTCTCACTTTTTCCTTGAGGTTAACTGATAGTCTATATTTGTCATTGATAGAAACTTTCCTGCAAAACTCTTATCAACTTTCTTGAAACTTACTTAATTGAGTCCCTAAGCAAGCAGTGGTTTTAACTAGCACTTCCCTTGAATTCAAACTCTTGCATAGCTGTTACCCAAGGATATCAGCTGCTTCACTGTAATGCATGAATGAATTTTATGAAAATTCTGTGACCAACTTTGTCATTCCCACAGGTGCAAGTAGATTATGTAGCTGCTACTACTTCACTAGAGTCTGGATTTCATAATTACTGAAATTAGTTTAAGAAATGTCAGGAGAAGGACAGATGCAGCAGCAAAAAAAATACATGAAAGTTATCTAGCTCTGAACTGAATTGAAATTGATAATTTAAAAGAAAAAGGAAAGAGAACTGATTTAGTATGGAAAAGTCAGGTATATAGTCTTTCTTTAAGAGTTGCTATGCAACAACTATGTAAACTCAGACCTTGATTTAGTTGTAGGAGACCCACAGAAAGCTTAACTTATTTCATGAGATGTAGAATGAGGCCCCACAGCCACAGACAATCTAGGGAAGAGTTAAGATAGCCAGTCTAGAATAGGCATAAAAAAATATTTCAGTAGATATAAATGAAAGTTTAAATATTTTGCAAACTAGCTCTTTGAAACATACACATGGTGAACCATAAGACACTTTTCCTGATGCATCCCTCCTTCCTTTCTACCTCTGACTGTATCACATAAGAGAATAACAGACCATTTAAAAGCTATGGGGATGAGGGGGTGGAGGGTGGAAAACAGTACCAGTCATTCATCAACTCAAACCTCACTCTCCAAGCTTCCCTACCAGACCACTCCTGAAAAACTTCACCCTGTCCTTCTTAAAGCTGCATTCTTGGTATGCCATTGGCTCTGAAGCTCCAGAAAGTAAAGTGACATATGCCTACCTGAGGCATTCAGGACCTTCAGATGTTTGTGGCAATGAAAACATATGAATTCTCACATTTTGAAATTCAATCTTCATGGCAACATGCATATAACATGCAAATACAGCAGTAACATGACCCCCGCACACAACCCCTAATGGTACAACCCTTGCTAATCTCAGCGCTATAAGCCCTGTGAACTAAGGTAGTATTAAAGATATTTTAAAATACCATCTGAAGAATTTTTAAGCCCTTAATAACTAGATATGATTATGCTGACAAGGGGCTATTTCTTTTACTGTGCTTTATTAAGATGTCAACAACATTACAGAATGTGCACTTGCATCTTAGTGATCAGCTATAAAAATATATGTATGAAGCAACTGAGGGGATTGCTTTGCAGCCATTTTTCAAACTTGGATGAGTAAATATCTAATAATGTTTCACGTAAAACATCACAGCAAGATTAAGCAAGGTCATGGCTATAGATAAAAAGAAGAGCCTCAAGAGCCACTTTCTGCTCTGGCTGAAGTCAACAACAGTTTAGTGATAAAACTTCAATATGGGCAAGTCCTTTGCCCACACAACAGCTTCAGATTAATATTAAGCACAAAGGACACCAAAAATCTTTGTCCTGAACTGTTTTTCTGTCATTGCAATAATCAGATACTTTACATTGAGTTACTTTTACATTTTCTTGACTTTTCTTAAATAATGGGTTTTCTTACTATTTAGTGTAAGACTTTTTATGTGTCAGAACCAAAAACAACAGTCTTTTTCAAGTCAGCAGATGTCCTATTAAGTAGACTTCCCATATATGCCATTTAAGCCAGAACAACAGAGCACTTAACCAGGCTTACCAAACAGTTACAGCTTCAGTTATTCACATACCTGATCTTATTATCATCAAAAGCTACACAGCACTATCAAGTTGAAAACAAGTACAGAAACATAAAACCAAGTAAATGGACTTTTGTGCAAGGGCTTAGGGGTTTATTCACATGTTGGAACACTAACACAGCTTTTTCACACACACAGTGATAAATTAACGTCCTAAGGTATTTTCTGATAGAAAGTAGTAAGTGAACAGTCTGCTTTTTAAGCCATTTTGCTATGCTCTTCTCCCAGTATTTTCCCAATAAATTACTAATAAAGAAAAAGAAATAAAAGATACAAATAAAAAGACAAGCTTTAAAACCAAACAGCTCAAAAACACTAGAAAAACAAAGCCAAGGTACAGAAATCTGAGCAAAAACAACCAAACCACTATATCTTAGTTCATATTATTCTAATTCAGTAACAATTTATACAAGAATATACTATTTTATTTCCACTAATCAATATAGTAGCATAACAATACTACTATATACATTTAGTAGAACTCATCTATTCTTTGTTCCCACCTTTTCATCCACAGGACTAATCACAGAATTTCATATGGAAACGTAAGTTTTACTTATGTGTCAAGTTTCATTTATATCATTGACAAAGAAAACTTATTTCCTCCTTGATTTTTAACAAGAGAAATCGTCAATATAAAATCAAAGTTTCAATGTAAGAACTTCTTGTCATTTTGGAAATCCCTCGTAACAGCTCTTTTAGAAGAGGGGAGTTGGCATAAAAAAGGTCACTGCACAGCCCGCAGGTTTTCATTTACAATCTTAATTTCTTTGTATGCATTCTAAGGCAGATGAGTTGCCACACTTAACCTTCAATTTAACTGTCCTGAAAAGAAAACTAGCGTATTCAAAACCTCATGAAACTACACAGTATATGGTGAGCACAACAGAAAAATCTTGATATACTTACAAACTTCCTCTTCTTGGAAGGCTCAGCTCTTTCTGCAACAGAAAAAAAAGATATACTGTATTAGGAATAAAACACTTTAACTGGAAATGGCCTTTTTGAGACAAGTACTGTTATCCTCCTTTCCCGCCATCAGCAGACAGACAGAAGTGGTGTTATCTGGACTACAATAAAAGATTTTACATGAACCACTTTTTACTTGTTGCCTTCTATTCTCACCTGAAATATTAATATTAGCAATGGGAAAAGTCTACACGTTTTTGTAAAATATTTCAAACAGAGGGATGTTATAGGAAATCCTTACAGTCACAGCTATGATGCACAATAACAGTATTAAAATTTGCAAGAATCAGTGATAAACATATACTACCTTCTTACCAGCATCCATAAATTGCAGAAAATGTTAACAGCAGGATCAAGACCTAAACAGGTGACCATTGCCACCAAGCTTTCTACATTATGTTCTTTAACCCAAAATAGATTAAGTACATAACCGTTTGGTCAATTATAATTTATTATAATCTTCTGCAAAGTAATAGCATAACAGAACTGCTGCCATAGAAACATTTCTACAACTTTTGTTGGGAAGAGTTATATTACTGTTTATGGGACTAACAAGATAGCCTGCTAGCCAAATGGAAATTGCAGACAAATATTTCACTAGCATTTTAGTGTAGAAGAAAGCCATAACATCCATGATATTGTGGCCATCAGAAATAAGCATGATATATACACCCACAAGTAGATTATCTTGTATTTTATAAATCACAGAACAGTTGAGGCTGGAAGGGACCTCTGGAGATCCTCTCGGACAATTACAGCAGGCAACTCAAGATCACATCCAGCTGGGTTCTGAACATGTTGAAAGATGGACACTCCACAGCCCCTGCGGGAAATCTGTTCCAGCGTTCAACTACCCTCACGTTTTTCCGTTTTTCACACAAACTTATACCCTGAATACTATGTTATTCAAGTCTTCTTTAAAATCATTTCCAGCAGGGAGTACGGGCTGCATTTAAAAAAAAAGGACAACTCGTCTGACCTAGAGAATACATTTGAAGTTGAAGAGCACCATGAAAGACAAAGCTGCATATGAGAATGATTCGAGTTTTATGGACAGATGTCTTTGGTCACTGAATTGCATTATTTCATGTTTACTTTCAATATTCTCACAAAAGGCTGTCAAGTAACACTCGACTTCCATTCTAGAATTATTAAAGGGAGCAATCACAGAATTCTCTTTCAAAAGGAAATATATATGTACACATGCATACTGTGTAATTGTGCACAAAAGTTATTTCACATAGCACATCAAATTACAGTTATTGACCAAAAAATGCACATGAAAATACAATAGGATAAAAATAGTTCAACCAGGCACCTCAGAAAGGCCGTAAGGGAATGAATAATTCTGTATTCTTTAGAAACTTCTAAATGGTGTGCAGCAAATAAAACCCAGGCTGCTAACTGAATGATAAGGACTAAAATATCAAGTAACTGCTCAATTCCTGAGCGCCACCCATCCTGTTCACTGAATGAGGCAGGAAAAAATAGTGTGAAACAATGTAATTAGAGATCATAAGGCAAAGGCATAGGAGAGCAGAATTAGGGGCCCTGGTAACCAATTCTGCCACTTCCTAGGAAGTTCCAGCAACTGTTCAGAATTTGCAATTTAAAACAACATCTTTTAGCATAACATGTGCTTACATACAAAAGAATGGTTACACCTGCATACAATATTGCATTATGAAGCTGAGTAACTCCCCTAAATTTAAAATGTCATATTCATAATGAACAAAATGTAACTGTAATTTAGAACCCACGTACTTCCCTTTGTATGGGTTTCCCCCCCTCCCTCTTCAATATTTACAAAGTCATTGTGTTCTATTTCTAATGTAAAACTTTACTTGTAATTCTAGGCACTGTCACACTGTAACAGACAATGCTGGTGGAAAAAGTGCCAAAATGCATGAGCAAGATTTGTACTTGGTTTTGCATCACACTTATCAGAGTTGCAACATGTACCTTAGATTTGTTTATTATGACTGGAAGAGCGAACTGGCTTCTTTTTTATTTTCTTTTTTATTTTTCCTTTCTTTCAATCTCAATGCTTTGCCTACAGTTTATCATTATAACAGTGTAGCAAATGACAGATACAGCCTTCTCTAGACACTAGAAATTGCATTAATTTCTTGGCCCATTTTCACGCATGCCACCCTTTTGGCTATAGAGTAAGGTTCCATGAGAGATGACTCACTGTAACGACTTGTTAGTGAAGATGTTAAGAACTGCCAAGATCTACCCATACAAAGTGAAAAATGAAACAAAACCTTTGGTATCTAATTCATACAGGAACCTTTACAAAACACTGCAAATAAGCATTTGTAAGGCTAGAACAGTATGTTTCTCCATAAGCAAACAAAACAAGGAATAAAAAAAAAAAAAAAAAAACAAGAAAAAAAAAACAACATAGTAAACTAAAGCTTGCTTTTCTGTCTCAAAAACCTTAATTTTTACATCTCTTATTCAATTTGTTGGCGCCACTTAGGACTCATCTACCACAAAGATTTCTGCACAGCCTGAAGAAATTATCAGGTTATCAACTGCATCAGTACAGACCTTTTTACCCCAGACAAGACTACTAACATTATGCTAGCTTTGTAATACTACCGCAGACCTCCACACCTGGGCCTACACAAAGCATGTAGGAAAAGTGTAAACATGCTCTACATGGAGCTAGCCTATAGTTTAGATAAATCATTTAATTCCTAAGTACATAAAAAAAGATCCATACCATTCAGAAGCTAAAAATGCCACTTTTACTACATTTCTCCCAGCTGTTTTACCCACAGCCACCAAAAACAGGAAAGCTGGAATGAAGGCTTGTAACACTCTAGCTCTAATCTCAGTTACACTAAAATGACCAGTAACAACTTCACAGTTTTCTGGCATTACCATGTTTCCTTTCTGAAAGCCTCAATAAAAGACTCAAAATACTGGCTGTTCCAGTTCTGCTGCACAGCATCCAACACATGTGGACAGCTGAAGGTAAAAGCTTAGCGGTGTCAAGACCTCCAGGTCAAGTACTTAGCAGGCAAACCCCTGGAGTACTGAAAAAAGATGCGCTAGCTACCACTCTGCATGGTTCTCAGCACCAGTTCTGCCCAGAGGGCAACACTGTGCTCTTTTGTCCTTTGTTGAATCCTCTTCCGGCTATTTCAAGACGGGCTGGTTCTAGGGCTTTTTCATTCCACTATAGTAACACAAAGCAGACTTAATGGACTAGACGCTCTTGCCATTGAGGCATTTTGCGTTTCAAAACCCGTTGTCTGGAAACATAATAAGCCTTGCCTTAGGTTTAAGAGATCTGTGCCTGCTATGCTAAATTGCTATAATGCTGCATTAAGAACCATGTGTACTGAATTTAATTGCAGCTATCATTATTCACTCAAACTCCATACTCTGTGACTTTTACTATCAATAACATGGTTCTACAAGCACAGACACTTTATTATTTCAATAATTATGATTTCTCCCCTGGTCCTACATACCTATAAGACACTTCAGTATGCACAAGTTCAGTCAATGCACCAGCATGCAAATATCTGGTCTTACAAAAAACTCCACGCTGGCCGAATAAAGCACACTGAGCTTTATTCTGTGTCAAAGTCTTCAGGGAAGACTATTAACTAGAAAAATGATCTAAATAACAGAACAGAGCAAATTACCAGAAAAATTAAAATACTGAATTTCCTCCCTTATATGGGAGGGAGATGCCATTAGCTTATTGCTCATTGCTGGGTTTAATTCTAAAGAATCAGGAAAAAGCTGACACATTCATAAACTGCTAAAGGCACAATTCATGTTGTCAATACAGGTTGAATTTAAAGCCACAGCTAATCTGCTACATATTCCAACAACTGAAATTATTCAGAATTCAATTCAATAAATGTTCAAATATTCAGCAAGTCTTATTTTTGAGAGTTTTCAGTTGTCCATGTAGTCATGTGAAAGAATGAATCTTTTAAAGGCAAAATTCAGTAATGCATTCTCCAGTTGAGGAGTTAAGTGTGGTAAGATTAAGGATGAGGGTTTTTTTTCCACTACCCATGTGTCATAGTCTGTAATGTGTGTTAGATCTTAATACACTGAATTAAGAATAGGTTAACATTGTAACATTAACACTGCATTAATAACAGTAGGAAAAAAAAAAAATCAGCAATGGCAGACAATTCACCTTATCATAATCACTGACAGCAAGAGCTACTGCTCTGAAGGATAAGTTTGAAGGATTTTCTTCTTAAGCAATTACTATGTTTTTGCTGAAGAAAAGCTGGAGGATGACAGCAGATCCTGCATTTGGATTTGGAAATAAGGAAAAAAAGCAGGTCAAGTAATATAACGTAGGATTGTTTTGATTTATCAGGAAAAGGGGTTGCATTGTGCAAGAGCTTTTTACAAACTTATCTTGACTTCTTTATAAGGTTTATATATTAAGCCATTGTATTAATCCATTCTAAATATCTTCTAAGTGAGGTGGTGGCAGATTACGCTTTTTATCTGATTGCTTCCTACTTTGCTAACAGTCAGTTCTTCAGATTCACAGAGCACGCTACCAAGGGGCTCAGCATGGAGACAGATTGAGCCCCCCAAAAGCCAGGTGTTAAGTGCCTTACACCAAATGTGTCTCTTCTGCTGTAATTTTGTTTCTCTGTCAAAGCTGTACTTTGTTCTTACACCAAATTACAATGTGTCCTGGTTCCAAGAATACCAAATGTCTGTCTTGAAATGTTTTTTTTTTATTGACACTAGGATTAAATTTCAGGAGTGGCCACTGACTTTAAAATTTCCAGTTCAAAACAGGACCAAGCAATTTCTTTCCAGTTCAAAACAGGACCAACCAATTTCAGAACAGTGCAAAAAGGTGTTCAGCTATTTGTCAGTCAAGGTCCTCTCAATCAGATCTGACTTCTTACAAAACATGTGTAACTATAAAACCATTATCCCTTCTAGATGACACAAGTGAGTTCGTGTT